ACTACTGTATCCCAGACTACATTTCAAACATTTCACTTGGTTTTAAGCTCCTGAGAATATGTTTCGAGCATTGATGTAGAGACCCTATCGGGGCCGGCAAGGTCGGTCACTGCATCGGCATCAGCGGAATAAATGGGACATGTTATCGGAGCAACAGCCTCCACCGTTGGCCATCGGGTCTAACAGTCTGACATGGCGATTTACCGAGGGCAGGCTTGTCTTGATGCTTTGCCCAAGCACCTTCAATGACTCGGTCAAGAGAGGCCGACGCCCAAAAGAAGGAACGCGAGAGTCACCCAAACCTCAAGAAGATCACCTCTAGGCAAAAGTGACAGTCTTCCGGCAGGGATAAGGGGTGCTGCTCGAGGTGTCCTTCCCTGATTGAATTATCTTTGGCACCCGACCAGAAATAAATCTTACCATAGCGTGCATTAGTCTTGAAAATCATCGATGAATGTCGCGAAGACCATTTAGCGTAATGAGCTGTGTGCCTGGCAGGGTTCATCTTCTGATTTGCTGCATTGGCGAACCAGGCGAACCCTTAGCAAGCATCAGACTCTTCCACAAGGAAACCAAGTAGACTTAAGAACAATTGAATCCAATTTAGATCGAACGACTTTTTTTTTTCTGATTGTAGAGCGTGGAGGTTGGGTTTGGGGGCCCACGGGCAAGTCAGAATGCATCAGCTATCGACGAAATCAACCGGTTGAGCTCGTTCGTCCTGATATCATCCGTTCTATTGTCATCAACATCGTATGAGAACGACAGCAAGTTTTACAATGTTGTCTTGAATATTTCCGTTAATTAGCTTCAGCGCAATCATTGCTTTCAACACCTGCGGTACCCACCAGCCTGTTGATTAAGCGTCACCATCTTTCCGCAGCCTCGCGGTACGTTTTCAATTGCGAGAGTTATTATTTCATGTTCAAACGAGCGATGCTTTCGCCACATGACTCTTCGCGACGCAAGGGGACAAATAGAATTGGATTTCAGTAGTCACTCCAAAGTAAAGCCCGCCTGTAAGCTTGGCTTCAGCATCGACTGCAACGATATTGACTCCTTGAAGCGGCCTGTTTATATGGATTCTCACTTCCTATGTTCTTATTCTGGAGTTCAGAGAGTATCTGATAAAGTAAGGAAGCCTTTCCGGTACATGGCAGTCTTCAAGATCCTGGCCATTCATAGGAGAACACCGTGGACAATCATAGCAGTCCTAGGACCAGTCTCCGTATTTTCCGCTATCGTTACAACTAAGGAGACCGATTTTTAACACCCGCCTGGATCGCAGTTGGATTAATCATCTTAGCCGTATACGATGGCAGGAAGTGCCTTAGCCGCCTCGATGGAGCCGGGAAAGTTCAGATGGATGTTGAGAGAGGTATTCGCCGCCGAGGTTCGCATGGAGAGGAGACTGGTGGCGCCCCAGCAAACCGACAGCCTCAAGTTCCAAAAATAAATCACACCACATCGGGAGAGTTCTCCCGAACTCCTACCACTTCACAGGCCGTTGCCGGAAGGGGTCGAACGACAACAAAGTAGTCCGCCAAAGCCGACCGAGCTGAAGTAGGCTTCGTCCTGCAGGTCAACGTTGCGACGATGAAATCGAAGCGTGCCTCCAAGTCGTTGAGTACCATCACCAAATTCTGGGTTGCATCGGACTTTGTTACATGAGCACCACGACTTCTTTCTAGCATGTCAGTATCCCTGGCGGCATTTCTCCAGGCTATCAACATCATTGGACAGCAAAAATCAAGGTACCCGGATACACAGAATGGAAGCAATCCTAGCGGCACGGAAACCACACCTTTCTGGAACTTTTGCGGCATCGACTTCCGGCATCGCTCGAACATATGTTAACATTCATTTTCTTGGCGTATCCCATGGTGGCCAGCCCTATTGCACAGCTTTCATCTCATGGACCGCTGATGCAGCTACGTCTATGGCAATGCGGCATGCCATGGAAAGATCAAGTCAACCGGGAGTCTTTCCCAGCTTGTTTCAAACCTTGGTTATGCTCTGTTCACCGGACGAACTAAGACCAACTTCCCCCCTTGGATGAAAGGTTCATAACCCCTTTCACGCCACAACCTACCTTCGACTTGACGAGATCAAAAAACTGGTACTGAGTACACCGGAAATCTCTACTTGTCTTTCTACTGTCCATTAGCTCGTGCGTTGGTCATGTCGCTCTTCGAACTTGACTTGGGCGGTTCGCGGAGTATACAACGGTAGTCGGTGGCTCGGTGTGCGGTTGGCACTTCAGCATGCTCCGTAGCTGACGATTCCTTCGGCCAGATTACGAACCATAGAGCAGATTGGATGGCACAATCCTTGGAGTGTGAGTATTTAGACCGCATTGTAAAGGCTTTCTAACACACGTAGCTGTATACCTTGCAAATATGATATCGTCTTCCATCAATACCCTATACATTCGCTTCTCTCATCTTTGTTCGCATGATTTTGCTTCATAGCACCGCAGATACCTCATATCAATAGGAATGCTACTTCTGTGACGAAACTCACGGATTTCATCATAACAGCTCGCGCAAACTGCCTCTTTATATTGGGTCCCTTCTGTGTTAGCAACCACGCGCCGGCAGCTAGCCCTGAGCTTCCATGCAGTTCTCTAGCACCTGGCTTTTCGAAGTTAAAGTCGAAGACGAAGAAAGTATTTCGAAGTAGCATCAATGGAGGAGAACAGGATTGAAGGGCTTCTTTACACGGGCTGACCAATACACCCAGAAAGAATCATATACTTCCAACAAATGTATTCGCGAAGGAGACTCAAATGATATCCATGGTTTCCTGTCACTTATATACAAACGGAATAGCAGCCGCCTAAATGTGTTGATAGAGTGATGTACCAAGAAACCATTGGTGAGGGGGGTATGCTAGACCCCATGTGCTGCGACAGCACAAGTATACAATAGTGGCAAAAGCACAAACGAACACCGTTTGGAATAAAACAAGTCGAGTAAACCAGAGTTTTCATTCACCGGCCTGTGGAACAAGGTGATTCTGTATACCTGCATGCTAGCTGATGTCAAGACCACGGTGTCTACATCGGAACAGCCAATATCGCCGCCCTCTTCGAATACGACGACAAACACAATCTGGTTATGTTTTCGTCACATTTTATCAACACTGGCGAGACAAATGATCTTCCTAGACGAGGACGTCCTCCTTCCACTCAGCTTCCAGCTAGGAAGTGACTAGTCCTCGGGCTACGTCGCGACCGTAGCTTGACTTGAGACATCAATCACATGAGTCCGAAAGCATGTCAACTCTGATCTACTTGTTTTGTGAGAAGTCTTGACTTAGATAACTTTCCTCCTGCGAGACAGCAAACGGCCACATCTCCTGCCTGAGGATTGTGCCATCCGCGGTCTGCCGTAAGCTGGGGATTACTACCCACCAAACTGGTTCATGGCAAGTTCAACAAACCATAGGGAAAATCCGTCAAAAGAAAATTCTGAAAGAGAACCAACACAATCACTAATGAGAAGATTTGACTTCGTGGCCGTCTACACATGGAAAGAGGCTTAGCGCACGCCGGGCCACCTCCAAAACACCACCGGACCTCCGTCCCGATCCCCGTTGCGGCGTCCCATCCGCCCCACGTATTCCCCGCCAAGCCGTGCCCCCTCCGATCCCTTCCCGATCACCCATCTCCCCCGATGCAATACAACCGCACAATCAAACCCCTCCAAGTCTCCGATACCCAAGTCCCCGGATTTTGCATATCCAAGAAATCCCAAGAATATTAAACCGCCGAAACCAACTTCAACCAAAAAAAATCAACAAATATCGATGAACGGCCAAGGCTTCCAAGTCGCCGGGCCAAGATAAGATAACTCATTCACAGCCCACGTCGCGCCAAAGACCAAGACCCGAAAAAGGTCCCAAGCTGACATCCTCCATCCCCCTCGGCATATCCCACGGGATGTGGGCGTCGGCTCACCCAACCAAGGGCGTAAGATACAAGATGCAGGCTGAGGTCATACCAAACCTGCACTGCTCGACCTCCCCTCCCCTCCCCCTCTATCATCTCCCACGGGCAGGCCTTGAAGCTGAATGGCGCGCCACAACCACGCCCGTGGCCTAACGGCCCTCCCACTCTTTCGTGTAAGGCTCGAACAAAGTAAACAAAGACCCTCACCAAAAGTCCAGAATCCCCGCCGCCGCCGGCCCAAAATACAAATCCCCGAAGTCCCCGGTCTTACTCAGACCGCAGACCCAGTACCATGTCTCTCCCCAGCCAACCAACAAGTAAGTACCATGTCAAATCTCACTGCATGCATCACGCTCTCGCACAACGAATTGTACTCCAAGGAATTTTGACAAATTTTACCCAATACTAAGTCCCAAAAATATTGTTCGCCGTCCAGATCTAGATGCCATGCCACCCAAGTAGATACCAACAAATCCCATCTTCATGAGAGGTATCTAAAAGAAAAACTCCAGCTCATGCATGCATAACAGACTATTACTTTGTGGCTTGCTCAAAACCCCAAAATGGCGAACACAACATCCCAAACGCCCAAATAACCCAATCATATATGCTTTGCTTTATGTGCCCCAAATCATGTTCGCCTTCGTGGTCAATCATTAGTAAATGAGTGCTGATGAGTGGATAAAAAAAAAGCCTCCGCGGTGGTGTGAGTGAGGAGAGACCGTGTGTGGTGCGGGAAGGGCGGACCAAGGCCCAGGGCAAAAATAAGCCATAAGCGCCCAAAGTGCCCCGGCCGGCACCGCGGTAGTGCGCGAATGGCTGTGCGACGCGACCGGTGGGAGAGGAGAGAACCCCAGTGTGCAAAACGCCGAAGTGGGTGTGCTGCCAGCCCTGCTGAAATGACGTTTGGGCTTGTGCCGGCCGGGCGTGGTGTGCTCGTGTTCCCGCTGCCGGTATTATGGACGGAGCTAAGTGGACGCCACTGCAGCTGTCACTGCTGCCTATGTGTGCCATCTTCAGCCTCGGGCTTCCTGAGAGAAAAGGCCGTTTACAAGCCCGAGTCGTGCTTTGGGTAGAAGCTTGTCGGGTAGTAGTCCTTCCAGCCCTTGCAGGTGGGCTGGAGCTCCTCGAGCTGCATCGTGTGGGCGATTTCGTCCTTGCGCTCGAGGAACTGCACGCTGAGACCCATGCTGACATGCCAGGCGATGTGGCAATGCATGAGCCACGCGCCTGGGTTGTCGGTCTTGAAGGCGATCACCATCCAGCCGCTGGCAGGAAGCACCGCGACATCTCTGCGGATGGGGTTGTGGAAGTTGAGGTTGGGGTGAGTAGTGGTCGCGTACGGTCCGGTGCCGTTGGTGACTGGCGGGTTGCTGTCGAGGAAGGAGCCGTCGCCAATGCCGAGGAGGAGGAAGTCGTGACCGTGAAGGTGGATAGGATGGGGGAGGAGGTGGTCGTTCTGAATGACCCACCAGGTCCATTTGTCCTTGGAGTCGAGCTCCACAACATTGGCTCTCTCCATGAAAGTGTAGTTGTTCTCGGCGACGTAGGTGAGGGTGGGCTTGTCCCACTCAATGTCCATAGAGTGGCCATTGACAGTCCAGCGGAAGACCGGCTGACCGTAGACTTCGGGCGTGGTGAGGTTCACGTCGAGAATGTTCTTGTGGGGAGTGAACTCGGAGGACGGCGGAAGTCTACTGACGATCGGCTCGAAACCCACAGTATCGGCGCAGCCGGCCTCAATGGGGTATCCTGGTTGGGTAGGGAGTTCATCGGCGGCGCCCTCATAAGTGAAGATGGAGGCAGGAAGAGCAACTTCGGACGTACCGCAGAGCCCCGTGGCGCTGAGAGTCGCGTTGAACCAGTAGTTCTCAACCTCTTGGTTGGCCTCGATGATCACATCGTAGCGCTGACCGACGGACAAGAAGAGACTGTCCTTGACGACGGGCTTGACGGGCACGAGATCGGTAGCGATGACAGTAAAGCTGTGTCCAGCCAGAGAGACGGTGAAAGTGTTATCGACAGAGGTGTTGATCAGTCTGAGGCGATGCTTCTTGCCAGGCGTAAGCTTCGTCTTTTGGTACTCGCCGCCGCCCAAAGCATTAACGCCCTTTCCGTTGAAAAGAACGTTTTGGCTGTCTGGGGGAGGGCCAGCCAGGAGACCAGCGAGTTCAGCGCGTCGCTCGAGGTTATCCGCAGTGTCGTGGTACCAGTCGCTGATGGCGTAAGGGCCGAGGTCAATGTCGTAGTCAGCAGACGCCGGGCCGTTAATCTGAATCGTGCCGACGACGCCGTTGCCGTACTGGGATGAAAAGTGGCTGTGGTACCTGTGTAGAGCTTGTAAGTCCATGGGCCCACAATCTTCAACAAAGGAACAGAAACATACCAAGAAGTGCCGTACTGAATCATCTGGTAAGAGTACGTCTTCTTTTGTCCAGGTGCGATGGGGCACTCCGTGACACCGTTGGCGCCGTCCTGATCATTGGTGTTGCGCTGGTGCATGCCGTGCCAATGGATGGAGGTACTGATAAGCGTGTTAGCTGGGATCTGCAATGCACGCGCCGGCGCACTAACCCGTTGTTTTCCAGTTGGTTGTGGACGGTAATTTTGACAAAGTCGCCCCAATCAGCCTCGATAGTCGGCCCCGGGAACTGGCCGTTGATGAGCATGGTCGTCTTGAACACACCGTCTGGTGAAAAGTCTGTGTGGTTGGTGATGTAAAGATCGAACTGCCTCATGTTAGCCTTGCTCTAAGGCCGCAAATGTGAGGACATACTTCTCTCGTCTTTCCGGTGTTTGGGACATTGGTCTCGTAGTCGGTATCAATGGTGTACTTTCCGTTCCAGCAAGCACGGTTGGTAGGGCCATGAGTACCACAATCCGTGCGTGTATCCAACGAGCGAATGGGGTTGGCGCTGGCGAGAGAAGCAAGGAAAAGTCCAGCCTCGAAGGCGGATCGAATTAGGTTGTAACGCATGGTGAATGTGCTAGCAAGTAGGAGAAGACTGTACTAAACAATAGGAGATGAGCGACTGACTTGGTGTTTCAATATCTCGAGATCCGTGAGGGACAGAGTAGATTATATACACTTGTGTATCATCAAGATGCCTCAACTGCGCCTTAGCCTTTCTAGGAGGGCGGCATCAATAGTCTCGGTGCACTTGCAGGCTCGAGAGCTCAGAGTGGCGTCTGCAGAATGTACAGTCCTTCAGAAGGGCCATGATGCGAGTGTGAGTGAGAGCTAGAGGTGTGCGTAGAGGTGAGGTGCATCACACCCCTGCCTCTCGGGCAGTGAGAATGCCATGCCTCATTCTGACATGGAGGGAACAACAAAGCCAGGTCCCGTTCGATGTGGATACGGAAACACGGCATGGAACGATGGAGATGGTATGCTCGCGTGTGGAGGTGGTAGAACATGGTTTCTCTGTAAAGTCGAGTCTTGGCTTGACCGGCGCTATGGAACGGTGGAGAATGGAGAAGCCAAATGTGGACACATCCGGGAAGAGGCTGAGCTACTTCTTGCCGTGGGTGCAGTAGCCAGGCAGACGGAAAACGACATCGCTGGTTGGGAGAGCGGATCATGTCAGATCCCCAAATTGAACCCTCGATCCGCCCTTGTCGTGTCCAATATTTGCCCTATGCATATGAGGTGCCCCGAATTCAGACGACTGTGACTGGCCCGTGTAACGGAGGCTGAGAATAGGTGAAGGATGAGGCTGACGGGCCACTAGCAGGAAAACCTGTATGTCATATCTCGGTGCCAGACACGTGCTGTCATAGGTCTGCGTTCCATCGATGGACGCCTAATTCGGCACTTGGTATGCATAGAGTCAGCACATCCAATATGGAAGTCAGGTTGCAATGGTACATTCAGAGTTCTGATGTAAGATGGAGGGTGTCTTGATGTGTTATTAGGGCGTACTCGCGCCGGCCGGGAAAGGTCTGACCACATCCGGCGGACGACGTGACTGGCAGACGACCGGCAATAATTTCGAATGAGATCAGCACGATATGCACCCTCGCGGGCTTGGTAAAGAAGCGGTTTAGGCCTTGCGAGCTCAGCTGGAAGCCTCGTATGTTGCGGAGAGTCGAGTACTTGGCAGGAGCTCAGCCGGCGGAGGAGCCAAACTGCTGGAAGGTCTGAGCTGGCCGACAGGATCTGAGTACCCGCTTCCACCGCCAATAACCCCCCGCAAAAACACTGTTCGGCTTGCAGGATGCAAGACTTGGCGAAATGGGTTGCTGCTCTTGTTGAGAAGCAGTGAAGTCGGCGGTGAAGTCGACTCACCGGACATTTCGTGCGAGAGGCCGGAGGAGAAGGTGAGCAAATACGAGTGGCAGGCAACGAAAAAGCAAAAACACCGTTTCTTAGGTGGTAGCGGCCATGGAGAAGTACGATATCGAGGGCAGATCGACTCGGGGAAGCACGGAGATGGAGAGGTGTGATTCGTCACGAGGTGGCAGATATTCGCCGGCCGGTCTAGGTGCAGCCAGCGCGGCACCGTCCAGTGACTAAGCTTCGCGGTTCCTGGGCGAATCATTGAGTTTGGAGTCGGTCCTTTCATGGTCCTGGGCTCGCCCGGCACCGTCGGTGCTCGTATCGATGATTGTCTCTGAGTCTGTCCATGTTGACGCCCTAGGGCAGAGGCGGGAGAGTCATCGGCCGACGCAGGCAGGGTTCAGAGAAGCCGTCTCTGCGGCCACTACTGCTGCTGTGTCGTTGGTGCACGGCATCTTGGGGGCTATTTTTAGGCGAACAAGGCGATGAGAAGGATGAGGGGAAGAGGGCAAAGACCCAGGCCCTGGAGCCGTTGAGAAAGGTCTGCAGCGAAGATTAGCAGTAGCAGCCGCAATAGCCATTTGAGACGAACGCGATGGTCTGATGTGGTGGAAGTCGGCGGTATCTCGACCGGGATGGCCTGGGAGTCATTTCCAAGGACATGGGAGATGGATGATGGCTTGCAGGTCAAGATACCGTGACTGGACCAATAGCAGCAGCCGCATGGTCTGGAGGAAGGAAGCTATGCCGCAGACAAAGGTGTCTCTGCCCTGTAGCCTAACGTATGCCGCGTGGTGAGGTAAGGGTCGAGTCTTAACGTGGAGGTGGGAAATGGCTGCGAGGTCGGGATTGGGTTGTTGGGGAGAAGAGGATGAGAGGGCTGTGGCCGGGGGAAATCTGACAGGATCCCGCATGCATCTCAGATGTTGCTTTACAGTGCTGGAGGAGGCATCTACTGTGCATGGCAGAAGCAAAAGGTATGGAGAGTAGTGCGCAGGAATGCTAGTGACACGGTATTTCCACATAAGGTGTGGCTTCCTCTGCCGCAGCTCACAAATAGCTTAGCGCCTGCAATGAGCCACAGTGCCGGCCGTCAGTGCGTGACTGCGTACCTTATCGAACAGCGACAGCACAGCACCTGGACCGCTGCTCACAGCAAAATCTCACTGGCCACACAGCTGTGGAAGGACGCTGTCTTCCCTCACCGCTAGGTGGGCGCTCGCTGCAAACAAGGTCAGGGGCAGTTGCTTCACCCAGAGCATCGCCCGTTTGCTTTTCAAAACTCCTCCCGCTTTTAGCAACACCTGCCACTCACCTGCCAAACCTCCAGCAGGATGAGAAAGCAAGCAGACGATGGAAGGAACATCGCGCCGCCCTGCCTAGTGAGCAAAATTCTCCTGTTCCTCCTCTCTTACCAACACACCTTAACTCTATCTCACAGGGCAGCAGCTGCTTGTCTCAACGCCACTACCACGGGTGCGTGATGACGCCGGACGCGGCTCTCTCCATCATGCCATCTTATGCCATCTTCTCCAGACTTTTCCCACCGACACCCAATACCGACTGCATCCGCCATCTCTCTGCCTTCAGCTATCAGAACTATTGATTCCATGCCTTCGCTTCTGCTGCCTCTGCTTCCCCGCCGCGAGTCTTCTTCCACTTCTTGCTCTCTCCCACTTCCCGCTCATTCGCGCACCTACACTGCGCATATGCATGTCTCACAGGATCGTCCACCTAAACACGAGAGATGCCCGGCTTCCAGCTGACAGCGCATAACCCTTAGACCGAAGACCATCTCCTACCCCGGTCTGTCTTCCGCCGTCTTCCGCTGCGAACATCGGTCTGCCTCTACGGCACTGCAGAGAGATGGCCGCCCTCAGAGGAGCCACACATGACTCCATGACGGCCAAAACGCCTGATCGTTTGCTCTGCTGACAGCCACACTTCCGCTCCCCTCCCGTCTGTCGACTAAGATCTGTCCCGGCGGCGCCGATCCCAGAGCTCACCTGCTCACCCAGCAAGGCTGCCAGGGCACATCTAACATGCCATCTTTCGACCCAATCGCTCTGCTTTTCTTACCTCACCTAAGCCAACATGCCCGACTTACCCGGGCGTCTTCTTCTGCCCTGATCCGGTCCTTGGAACTCCGAGGCGAAGTCCGGGCGTCGGCTCAAATCATTGCCCCTTTGGGACCACACTCGACATGCGGGCGATGCTTGGAGTTGACTACCAGAAGAGCACCTGACCAGTTGCCCGGGTTGCCATCGTCGCGAAGCGTGAAGCCACACTTTGTTTTGCCTGGCATGACGGCGATACGGCGGTTCGTCTGGTCTCACACATGCGCTGCGAGATCCAGCTCTGTCTGCCTACCTAAATACCACAGGTACCGTCGAGCATTTCCCCATCTGGCATGATGTCTTTTCTCGTGTACTCGCTATTTCGACTTCAATACGAGACATAGGACACATGGTATGTGGAGTGAGGCGAGGATTCCGACCCGGCCAGTGACATGGCTTTACCCATTCCGTCATCCATCCCACATCGGGCCGTTGGTTGCTCTCACCGTTCTAGACTTGGGACTCATCTAACGGCTGCTATTCCTGGGCCAACAGGCCAAGACAAGGCACCCGCCATATTTCGATCTCACAAGATCCAGCTCGCCGGGAATTCAATTTCAACCTGTTACACGGTCGTCGAGTTTAGCACATGGGAAAAGAGTGTGCCTTCCAGCCAACGCCTGAATTAAACGTCAGGGACAGCCACAAGCGTGGAAGCTCATTCCAAATACGAGAATGACGTTGACTCATTGGGAAAGGAAACTTCCATTTTCCTCTCGCGGGATGTGTCCTACGTTGGACATGGATTTCGCCCGTGTAACAGCGCATTGGCGCCTGTCGGCTTGTTCCCAGCCCTGGCGAGGATCGCGTCGGAATGCTACAGGTGATCATTATCCCGGCTCTTATTGGGCCTGCTATTTCGATATTGTCTAAGCCTTAATATTGGAGGGAATTAAGCATCAAACATCTGGATATCCCTCAGCCAATGCGGCGACTGGGGAAGGTTCTCAGCCCAGGTTAGGCGTCAGCAACGCTTACTCACCATCGTTCCGCCGTCAGACGTTTGAGTCGAAGGATCTCCCTCGTCACCAAGGGGTTGCAGTTGTTCTCCCACGACGTCAATCTTAAGATGGCCTCTATAACCGCCGTCATCTCACTCTGCAGCGTCTGACAATGCCGAAACTCTTGAGATGAACGTTTCCCCCTTAGGGCCAATATTCCCAAAGTCAAATCAAACTTTACCGTTGCGGGAACACCTACCACCACTAGGAGAAACGCAGCCAGAACAAAAAGGAAAACTGAGGTTCCAGACCGTCCGGTAGGGCGGTTAGCGTCGAAATCTGAGTCGCTTTAAAATTAGGCTCGCCGCATGCCGTCCAATTCTTCCTCGTATGCAAGGTCCCGAACACTGCGGCGCGCTGCGTCGTGGTACCACGTCAACGTCGCAAGGCTAGCACCTAGTTACAATTTTAAAATCCGCCTTGCCCGCGAGAGCCGCAGGCTTCTGCGTACGGGTGCCGAGGCCGCCGGAGGTTGAGCTTCAGCTAAACTTCGCCGGCGCCGTAAGCTGAAGTTTGACCGCCGGTGAAGTTTGAAGTGCCTCGGGTGTATTGGGTGTGGTAGGCGGGAAACCGATACCGA